AGAGTGTGGGTGACGGGGTGGAGGAGCCCAGGAGCAGCGGTGTTGTGCCCATCACCCCGTGCTCGGGGCTATTTAGGGTGGGCTCTGGGTCTGCGACCCCTTTGTCTCCTCGGGGAGCCCCTGGGTGACCAAGGCATGTGCCACCTGCATGGGTGCAGCCGACTTTTTGCTTGTGCTGGAGGGGAAAAGGGCAGAGAAAATCCCCCAGGGGCACGAGGGCGGCCGTCCTCCCTCTGAGCAAGCCCCTGTTAGCAGGAGGGCATCCCCCGCGCTGTGGGGCTGCAGCCTCTGCTCATCCATATTTCATGCTGGACCTTCCTGAGGGGAACACAGGGGTGTAAGGAGCCTGGTGCCATCCCCAGTGCGGGCCCAGCTTTGCTCCTGGTGGTTTTGGAGCTTTCTCAGCCTGCCCGTGCCGTTCCCGTGCGCTTGGAGAGGACGGGGCCACGCGGTGCCCTGCGCCTTGGTCGCTTCATGCATGCTCCTTGCGCTGCCCACCCCAGGGTTTTGGGGCCCTTTGTGTGTGACTGCCCCCGGTCTGCCATCCATAAACGTCCTCGTGGCATCTCCCAGCCCTTCTCCAGGCAGGTCCAGCGAGGAGCCTTTGGGATCCCCAGCGGCTTTGGGATGGAGGAGGAGCCCGGAGGCACTGCGAACTCGGTGCTCCCGCTGCCCTCCAGGCGATGTGCTGGGAAAAACACCATCCCCTGCTCCCCCGAGCCCTGCTGAGCCCTGGGCTGGGGTCTGCTGGGTGCTGGGTCCCCCCGCGGGCTGCGCGTCCCCTGCCCCTTGGTGGGTCTCGGTGCGGAGCAGATGGCGCGGCTCGGGGCCGGTGTGCTCCTGCCAGAGCTAATGAGCAACACACGGCGCCTGCCAAGGCCTGATTTAAAGGTTTCCCTAAGCCTGGGAAAGCCTGGAGCAGGAGGATTAGGAGGCCCGGGGGGCTCTGGGGTTGAAGGCAGCGGGGTTTGCCCCACGGGGACCTGCTGTGCCCTCGGTGCTCAGCCGGCACGGAGGCAGGCAGAGCCCAGCGCTCGCCCGTGTTGTGCTGGCTCCCGCTAGGAAATGCCCTGCTATAGCTCTTAATCTAAGCGTTTTCCGACCAGACCTGGCAGTCCCAGGGGAGCCTTATTCAATTTTCTCTGATTGCCGAGCTGCTTCCCTGCCGCCGTAATTAAATGCTCGACTTTGTCTTGATTTGGGTCCGGAGCAACCTGTGTGGTGCCACCAGCCAGCTCTGGGCACGCGGGGACCTGGCTGGGGGCTCGTCCTCTGGGGATGGGGACAGGTCCTGGGGGGGGACGGATCCCGTTCTGTGCTGGCCTGGGGATGTGGGAAAACCACGGGGGTCTTCACTCTGACCTATCCCTGATGCTGGGGAGGGCAGAAAGAGGCTGGGAGCAGGGACGGGAGCGATGTGGGTGCCGTGGGGAGCGGGGATGGGAGCTGGGGGACCGCAGACACCATGGGGAGCGCAGCCAGGTGCTGCTTGGGCTCGCCCGGTGCTGTCTGTGCAGGTAAATCGGAGGCTGCTCGGCTGGCCCCGGGGCTGCCGGCTCCACCCTGCGCCAGCCCTCGCCGCCAGGGCTGCCTGCCAGAGCCTCCTCGGAGAGCTGGGAGCTCCCTGCTGCACCAGGGCAGTGCCCAGCAGTGGCTCTACCAGGCAGCGAGAGGTGGCAGCAGCCAGGGTGGTGGTGACCCCCGGGTGCCCAGCAGGTGTTGCAGGGGCTGCTTGCACCCCCAGGCTGAAGCAGCTGCCCTGGACTGGGAACTGGTGGCGAGTGGACGTGTGCTTGGCCTCGCTGGGGAGTGCCAAGGGCTGGGACAGCCCCGGTTGGAAGTGGGCGATGCTGCAGGAGGGACGGATCCCTTCCCGTTGCATTGAAGCCCACCCCGCTGGCTGCAAGGCTGGAGGTGCTGGGGGGCTCCCCACGGGGTCTGCTCCTTCCCCCGGGGCTGGAGGGGGCCCTGAGGGCTGCCCGTGGGAGCCGACAGCCTCGTGCTGCCCGCCCAGGGCTTGGCTCCCAGCCTGGCACCGAACAACCCGACCTTTGTGCGTGCCGCGGGGCGCTCCGCGGCGCTCCCTGCCCCTGGGGGTGCGGGACCCGCTCCCCGCTTCTCCGCTTCCTCCCCAAGATGCTCGGTCCACCCTGGCAGCCGAGCCATGGAGACGGAGCTTTCACAGCCTGCCAGCCCGGCAGGAAAGGGGAGGAGAGATGGAGAGGCTCCCCTCCGTGCCGCCGCTGAGCCTTTGTGTCCCCTTGTGTCCCCCGCGCGGATGCGGGCTTTCCCTGGCGTCACGCCGCCTGTGATGCGGGGTCTGTGTGCCGATGCTGGAGCGGGTGGGCTCCTGCCGTGCTGCCTGTCATCCCCTCGGCGAGTGCTGCTGCTTTGGGAAGGAGATGGTTTGGGATTTCCCCCCCCCGCCCGTGCCTTCTGTCTGTGCATCCGTCTGCAGCCATCCCTGCGCTTCGTGCCTCAGTTTATCCGCGTGGGCACGAGGGAGATGGGGCTGGTGGTGCCCTGGGGGCCCCAGGACAGTTTGTGTCCTCCCCGCGCTGGTGGCTTTGCACTGAAGCAGCTGGGGACAGGCAGGGGGACAGCCAAAGAGCTGGAGGAGCCTGCACCGGGATCAGCCGGGCTCTGCTCTCTGTGCTTGTCCCAGCCTCTTGGGGCAGGGCACCCTGGCATGTTTGGCATGGTGCTGGGCACGGTGCTGGGCACAAGCTGTACGGGGCGCAGAGCAGCCTGGCTGCATCCCACTGCTGGGATTGTAGGGGAGGGAGCAGCTCCATCAGCCTGTAGGGTGGGCCCTGCTGGCACCCCCCCAGTTCTGCTGGGTGGACAGGACGTGGTGAGCATCCCTTTTGGTAGGGCAGGGCCACGGAGAGGCAGAGCGCACCGGGACGGTGACCTGGTGCACCCCACGGTCACTGCTCTGTGTTGCAGAGGAAGGAAACTGAGGCAGGGCAAGGCAAAAAGTGGGGTCGTGGGGCTGGTGGGGCTGAGAGTAGGGCTGAGGGGAGAGCCCGTGCTGGCTCTGCTGGTCCGTAGGGTTTAGGAGGAGGAGGTCTCGTGCCTCTACGCCCAGTGCCTGGTGTGGTGATGCCCCCCCTGGTAGGGCTGGGCTGGGCTGGGCTGAGACCCCCGAGGGGCAGAGAGCTGAGTCTGCCCAACGCCTGGGAGCTGGGATGGTGGCACTGGCCTGGGGACACCTCCGTGGTGAGTCTTGGTGGCCTCGTAAATCTCCTGATGCTGGGTGGCCGGGCTGCTGGTGACAGCCGCGTCCCCCGTCTGTCTGCTGGCACTCGCTGTGCTCATCCCTGCCCTCTGCTCTGCTCTTGTAATGGGGGGGCTGATATTTGGTGTCTGCAGCAGCTCCCTGGGGTGTACCCGGGTGGTTCTTGGCCAATTGCCTGGGGACTAAGCCCCTCGCCGTGGTCGGGACCCTCCTGTGGGGCACCTGGGTCCCCTCCAGCCCCCGCAGGTCCCACGGCTGCAGGAGCTGGGCTGAGGGATGGGCCCCGCTCGGGTGCTCAGGACCGGGGTGTTTGGATGGGAGATTTGGGGAGCAGGGGTAGGGAGATGGTGGTGTTGGTGTGTGGATGATCTGGAACAGCCCCATGCACCAGGCTCCAGGTGGATCCCCGAAAATCCTACAGAAAGCTCAGTGTGCAGTCACCCCAACGCTGCTGCACAGCCTCTCTCCCAGACCCACAGGCACATATTTAATTGCTTGGAGCAATTAAAAAAAAAGAACGAAGGATTTTGCTGAAGGCCCTGCTTTGCTTTTTCTCAGAGAGGGAAAAATTTCCACAAGTGCCCTGCTTCCAGTTTGTTCCTCTGCCCGTCCCCGGGGGACGCTGTCCCCGTGTGCGCGCCTGGGGATGGGGAGGGCTTCATCTGGGTCAAAAAAAAAAAGAAAGTAATTAAAACTGGGGTTCATTTTCCTGGAGGAGGGTGGGCCCCTGGGGAAGGCGACGGCAGCGAGTCTCGGGCTGAGCACATCAGAAGCTGCTTTCTATTGTGGCTGCTGAGCTAAATATACCCGCGGACACCGCGCTGTTCCCACGCGTCTGCTGCGCAGCCTCGCGGCCCACCCACCTCCCACGCCGGGGGGATTTTTGCCCCCCCCCAGCCCTCCCGGTGAGCCCCATCCCGCAAAACCTCCTCTGCGGGCGCTGCGGGCTCGGGAGGAATTAATAGGCGCGTTGATGGAGCGCCGAGGGAGGGGAGCTCTGCAGTCATTAGCTCTAATGAGAGCCGCTTGCCAGGGCGCTTGGCTCCGCGCTCCCTTCTTTCTCCGCAAGTCTCCGGGGACCCGGCAGCTTCCCCCGAAACCCGGAGCTGCTGCATGGCCCCGGCGCCTCTCGTGCAGCAGATCCACTTGGTGCAGTGCCGGCAGTGCACCCCAAGGGTTTTGGGGGGCTGGGTGCAGCGGGTGGGGACGCGGGGGGTTGGTCGTGCCCGCAGCCGGAGCTGCCCTGGTCCCGTCTGCAGCCTGGGGCAGGCACGGGGCTGGGCGGAGGGTTGGGTCCGCTCGGAGGTTTTGGTGCTGGCACCGTCTCGTCGGCTTTTGCGCTTTGCATTTCATTTTGTGCTTTTAATTTTGTCACTTTTCTAAGTGCAGTTTTGATCTCGCTGCCTCCTGAGCGGGTGCGCCCACGCTGGGGCTGGCTGCAGCGCGTCCCCTCGGCGTGCCCGTGCCTGTGCCCTGGCACTCCGGGCTGCTTCGAGGAATTGATCGGTGTCTACCTGCAGCCCGGGGCTTGCTGCCTGGCCGGGGACATGGTGAATAAACTGGTGTAGGAGTGGGAGACTGGGCTGTATTCAGCTGTTGGTGCAAGGGAAGCTGTTGTGAGCTGTGCGCTCCGTACCGTGAGCGGTGGCACTGCTGTCACCTGCCTGGAGCAGCCCCAGCGTGGGGCACGCCGGTGTCCCCAGGAGCAGGCAGCGGGGTGAGCCCCGAGGCTGTCCTCAGCCTCTTCCTCCTCCTGCAGGATCCGTCCCCAGCTGTCCAAAGAGAAGATCGAGGGATGTCACATCTGCACCTCCGTGACGCCCGGCGAGCCCCAGGTGCTGCTGGGGAAGGACAAAGCCTTCACCTACGACTTCGTCTTCGACCTGGACACGTGGCAGGAGCAGATCTACACCACGTGCGTGGGCAAGCTCATCGAAGGCTGCTTCGAGGGCTACAATGCCACTGTGCTGGCGTACGGCCAGGTACCTGCTCTGCCCTCTTTTTGGGCTCCGTTGTGGGTTTTGGGCTCTCCTGAGACACTGGTGCCCGCAGAGGTTAGGGGAAGGCACAGGTGTTAAAGGTCCTGGGTGCAGAGGGGACAGAGGTGGCCCTGGGCTGGGTGGGAGCTGGGGCAGGGGCTGGGCTGGGCTGGGAGAAGGGGGGGGACATGGCTGGGGCATGTGTAGGGGTCTGGGGTGTTTGGAGAGCCAAGGGGGCATTGAGGACCCAAACAGCCCCCCCATTGCGTCCCCTTTGCAGACGGGGGCCGGGAAGACGTACACCATGGGGACGGGCTTCGACATGAACATCTCCGAGGACGAGCAGGGCATCATCCCGCGGGCCATCGGCCACCTCTTCAGCGGCATCGAGGAGCGCAAGCGGGCGGCACAGAGCCAAGGCGTGGCGGCACCTGAGTTCAAAGTCAGCGCCCAGTTCCTGGAGGTGGGTGACAGCAAGGCTGGGCTGGCACCCTGGGGGGGGTCCCTTTGCCCTTGTCCTGGGCTCCTGGAGGCGTGACAGCACCCAGGAGACCCAAAGCACCTGGGTGCTGTTGGCCTCGTGATGGCCACAAACTGCGGTGGCGTTTCCTTGGGAGCTCCCCCCGGGGATGGGAGCTTGTGCCATGGTGCCCAGGAGATTTGGGGTGCTTTGGGCTCTCTCACTCCTGTTTGAGGTGTTTGACTGCTGTCAGCTCTGACTCCTCGGGGTTGTCCCTGCTTGTCTGGCACTCCCCTGCTCCCCAGTTTCCCCTTCCACCTGGTGAAGTTGACCTCGGGACCCATGGTGGGAGAGGGGCTCTGCTGCTCGTGTGGCCAGGGCGCATGCCCCCTGCACCCCATCCCTTCTGGGCACGTGTAATCATGCACCTAGATCCGAACTCACCCCTGCACCACCTCCTGGATGTGTTTGTGCACCCTTTGTGCATCCTCTCCTCCACCTGTACTGCACGCCAGCTCTCCTGGTCACCCTTCCCTGTGCGCACACACGTGTGCATCCACGTGCACGCACCCCCGGATCTCCTGCGCCGCCCATCCTAGCTCTGGGACTGCAGCAGCAGAAGGGCACAGGGCAGCTCCTGCAGCCCCCCTGTGCCAGGCTCCAGCAGCCTCCTGCTCACCGTTTCACCCCCCTGCCCGCTTTCACCCCGTTCAGCTCTACAACGAGGAGATCCTGGACCTGTTTGACAGCGCCCGCGACCCCGACGCGCGGCACCGCAAATCCAACATCAAAATCCACGAGGATGCCAGCGGGAGCATCTACACCACCGGCGTCACCTCGCGGCTCATCAGCTCGCAGGACGAGGTGGGTTTGGCACCGGGGGGGCTGCAGAAGGGGGGTCACAGCCAGGGATGCTCTACAAGAGGGGCAAGGCGAGGAGGGAACGGAGCAGAGCAGCCCCAGGGTGGTGCAGGGGGAGGTCGGGGCTGCCCGGTGCCCGCTGGGCTGCTGAGGGATGCTGTCCTAAATCTCTAAAAGGGTGCTCCAAAGGTTTTGTTTCCTCTCTGCCGTGCGTCGTTGCAGCTGATCCAGTGCCTGAAGCAGGGGGCTCTGTCCCGCACCACTGCCAGCACCCAGATGAACGTGCAGAGCTCCCGCTCCCACGCCATCTTCACCATCCACCTGTGCCAGATGAGGGTCTGCGCCCGCCCGGAGCTGGTGAGAAAAGGGGGTCTGGGGAGTCTGTGTCCCCCCCAGCTTTGTGTGGGGATCCCTGGAAAGGGGCAGGGGTTGCAAGTCTTGCATAGAGAGCTGGGTTTTTGTTTTGCTTCTCTCCCGTTACTGCAATTATTAACATTTAGTGGGAGATGAGCAGCCCCGTGCCGGGCTGGGGTGACCCACAGCAAGTTTCTGTTGGGATCCTCGAGGGGCTGAGAGCTGAGGGTGGGTGCTCAGGGTTTTGCTGGTGGCTGAATATGGCCGAGAGGGTCTCTGGGTGCTCGGGGGCCAGTGGCCGTGACCCCTCCACGTGTGCCTGGCTGCAGGTGAACGGGGAGGTGAGCGGCCTCCTGGATGGAGCCCAGCCCCCCACCGAGTACGAGACCCTCACGGCCAAGTTCCATTTCGTCGACCTGGCGGGCTCGGAGAGGCTGAAACGAACGGGTGCTACTGGCGAGAGGGCAAAGGAAGGCATCTCCATCAACTGCGGGCTGGTACGGCCCCGGGCGTGCAAGGGGCAGGGGGAGATGGGGGCTGTGGGGGGCCCTGGGGCACCTTTGGGTCCTGCTCCGGGCTGCTCCGAGCTCCTGAGTTGTTCTCTGTGTCGTGGGTTATGCGGCTTGGCCCTGGATTATCCATGATCCCTAAAGAGCAGCGGTGAGGGCACGGCTTTACTCTGAGGGTGTGGGGTGGGGGTCCAGCTGGGCACAAGGGTGCAAGCCCCCAAAAGCTCCAGGTCTGCTAATTTGAGCTTAAAACCCACTCCGAGGGCAAATGCTGAGCCTGACCCGGGAAGCCTCCAGCTCTGGCACCCCACAGCACGCACCCCAGGCCCCAAATCCCAGCCGTGGGGGTGGCTGTGTTCTCGGCAGGGGCTGAATTTGGGGTGGGGGCTTTGCTTTGTGTTGGCAGCTGGCCCTGGGGAACGTCATCAGTGCCCTGGGAGACCAGAGCAAGAAGGTGGTGCACGTGCCCTACCGGGACTCCAAGCTCACCCGCCTGCTGCAGGATTCCCTCGGGGGCAACAGGTACGGGGGTCCCCCTGCAAATGGGGTGAGGGTCCGTGGGGCTTGGGGAGGTATTTTGGGACTCAAGGGACCCTCGTGGGGTGGGTGCCTCGTGGCAGGCTGAGAGTGACCTCCACTGACCCCAGCCCTCGCCTCCCCCAGCCAAACCATCATGATCGCCTGCGTCAGCCCCTCCGACCGCGACTTCATGGAGACCCTGAACACCCTCAAGTACGCCAACCGGGCTCGCAACATCAAGAACAAGGTGGTGGTGAACCAGGACAAGACCAGCCAGCAGATCAGCGCCCTGCGGGCCGAGATCGCCCGCCTGCAGATGGAGCTGATGGAGTACAAGGCGGTGAGCGCCCGAGCAAAGGCTGCGGGGTGGGATGGAGCCGGGAGCCTCCCCGTGCTTGCATCGGGGTGATTTTAGCCAGCGAGACCCTCCTGCCCACTGTGCCCCCTCCCCTGGTTGTCTCCAGCCCTTTCCCCCAAGGAGGGTGTCCCACCAGCCAGGCCGAGCTCTGTTCTGTGTCTTGGTGGCACCGGGGTGTTGGGGAGGTGGCGCGGCACTGAGGAAATCGTGAAGCCGGTGCTTTGGCAGCGCTGGTGACGGCTCAGCTCCTGCCCTGCCACCTCGGGCAAGTCTCGTGGGGATGCCGAGGCGGAGCAGAGCCTTGGAGCATCTCTCGCCCTCTGCCCCATGGGTTCAAGCCTTCCTGGTCCTTAGATTTCACCCTTCCCCTGCGTGGATGTGTGTGGGTGCCCGTGTCCCGGCGCACCCCGCGCTCAGGGGCTGCCCCCTGTCCCCGCAGGGCAAGCGGGTGATCGGGGAGGACGGCTCGGAGGGCTACAGCGACCTTTTCCGTGAGAACGCCATGCTGCAGAAGGAGAACAGCGCCCTGCGCATGCGGGTAAAAGCCATGCAGGAGGCCATCGATGCCATCAACAACCGGGTCACCCAGCTGATGAGCCAGGAGGCCAACCTCATGCTGGCCAAGGCAGGTGAGGCTGGGCGCACGCGCGGTGCCTTGGGGTCGGGTTGGGACCGTGCCTCGGCTCTTCCCGTGACCCACCCGAGGCTCTGCTCCTCTTCCAGGGGATGGTAACGAAGCTATCGGTGCCCTCATCCAGAATTACATCCGGGAGATCGAAGAGCTGAGGTGAGCCAGGCACCGGGGCTCTCGGCTCGACCGGGGTCCCCAGGCTGGTGGGTGCCGTTGTGGGGTCTGAGCCCGTGCGCTGCGCCCAGCTCCGTGCCTCCAGCATCCTTGGGATGGCTCCTGGACCCCCATGGGGCAGCAGCTGAGACCCCCATGGGGCTGCCGTGGTGCTGCTGTGGCCAGCATCATCCTTTGTGTGGCTGCTGATGGATGGGGGAGATGCTGGGGGGAGACCCTGGTCTTCCCAAGGGGCTGCTGGCCCCCCAGACCCAGGTCCATCGGTGACCCCGGGGCACTCCCTGTCCGCAGCATCCCGACCTTATAGCCTGAGATGGGTTCCGTGGTGTTTGTCCCTGTCTCACACCACTCCAAACCCTGGGGAGGGTGGCACGTCCCCCCCTTTGACCTCATCCTGTGCCTGCCTTCCCCCAGGACCAAACTCCTGGAGAGCGAATCCATGAACGAGTCCTTGCGGCGCAGCCTCTCGCGCGTCTCTGCCCGGCCCCCCTACTCCGTGGGCTCGTCCCCGGTGCCCGGTTTGGCTGCCCCCGCTGAGACGGAGGCGTCCGACTGTCCTGCGCCGGGCCAAGCAGGACCTGGAGCGCCTGAAAAAGAAGGAGAGGAGGCAGCGGAGGAAAAGGTGAGGGCAGCAGCCGTGTGAGGTGAGGCTGCATCCCCCCATCCTACCCAAAGCCACCCGGATAAAACCTGGGTACCTGGGGTCCCCCCTGGCACTGCCCCATCCTCAGTCTCCTTTTCGCCCACTGTGGACACCCAGGGGCTGATTTTCCCAAAGGGAGGTTTGGGGGGGCGGGCCATGGGACCCATCCTGGTGTTGCCCCTTGCTGGGACCCAGCAGCCCCCCCCCTGCTCTCCCCCAGCCCCGAGAAGGAGGCGTTCAAGAAGCGGCCGAAGCTGCAGGACAACGGGGAGGAGACGGACTGAGAACGAGGGAGAAGAGGTGAGGGGGGCTTCGTGCTCGTGCCAAGGGGGGGGGTGGTTACAGAGGGCTGTCGTAGCCCCCCCAGGGAGGGGGACAGAGCCCAGCCTGGCCTCACAAGGAGGCTGGGGGGGTCAGGGGCTTGGTGTGGAGGTAGGAGAAGGAGATTTGGGGGATGCGGTGCTGCGGGGATGGATGGGGCACGGAGCTGCTCCTCGCCATGGGGTGCATGGGGGGGTGTCCAAAAATGATGCCGCAGCGTGGAGGGAAGGGCAAGGCCCCGCTGCGAGCTGAGGTCAGGCACTCGGCTCTTAGGAGGAGGAGGAGGAGCAGGACGAGAGCGGCTGCGAGGAAGAGGATGGGCGCGAGGATGAAGACGAGGACTCGGGCAGCGAAGAGAGCCTGGTGGACTCGGACTCGGACGCGGAGGAGAAGGGTAAAGAGCAGGGGGGTGCGTGCTGGTGTCTGCTGGCACTGAGCTCCAGTCCTGGGAACGGGGGGGGGTGTCCACTGGGGACCCCCGGCCACCTCCTCTCCTGCTTGGAGAAGCCCCAGGGGTGCTGCAGGGGGTGTCCAGGGCTCGTTGGGGTGCTGCCACCCCCCAGGAACGTGCCACGCTCCATCAGCTCTCTCCTGGCTCTGGGGGGCTGTGGGGGTGATGCTGTCCCCATCCCTCCTGGCCTGACTGCTCCCCCCTCGTCCCCCAGCCGTGAATTTCCAGGCCGACCTGGCGGATCTGACTTGCGAGATCGAGATCAAGCAGAAGCTGATCGACGAGCTGGAGAACAGCCAGCGGCGCCTGCAGACCCTCAAGCACCAGTACGAGGAGAAGCTGATCCTGCTGCAGAACAAGATCCGGGACACGCAGCTGGAGCGGGACCGGGTCCTGCAGAACCTCAGTGAGAGCCCCCCTCCCCCAGGGGCCCTGTTCCTGCAGCTTTGGGTCCCCGTCCCCCCCCTTTCTGCCCTCCTGGCTTGGGGTCAGTGCATCCAGCAGCCCTAAATGGCACGGCTTTGCTGCCCCTGGGACCCCGAGGCCATGCGTGTCTCACCATGGGAGCTGGAGAGCTCCTGGCCCCACTGGTGCTGGAGAAGACAGAGAAGCAAAGCCCCCTTCTAGTCCCATACACCCCCTAATAGTCCCATACGCCCCTTTCTGGGTGAGCCGAGGTGCTGTGGGGCATGTGGGGACCCCAAAGACCCCACGGCATGGCTGATGCTAGGCTCAGGGGGCTGGCGTGCACCAAGCAGGGTGCTTGTGGCTGAGGTCCAGACCCACAGCTCCTCCCAGCTCAGCACTTGCCGTGCAACCCCACAGCCCCCATCCTGTGCTCAGCCCCCACCCATCACCCCATCGGGTACCCCATACAGCCCCCAGCCCCTTGCGGGTCGAGGGAAGGCTCCGGCAAGGCAGGCAGGGCGCAGCGAGCCTTGCAAACCCTCCCCGCACGCTCCCCCCAGGCACCATGGAGTGCTACACGGAGGAGAAAGCCAACAAGATCAAGGCTGACTACGAGAAGCGGCTGAAGGAGATGAACCGGGACCTGCAGAAGCTGCAGGCGGCCCAGAAGGAGCACGCTCGCCTGCTCAAGAACCAGTCCCGCTACGAGCGCGAGCTGAGGAAGCTGCAGGCGGAGGTGGCCGAGATGAAGAAGGCGAAGGTACCCGGGCACGGAGGGGGCACCCCCTTGGGAACAGCCTCGGGGAGGCTTCCATGGGACCAGCCTGAATCCTGGCCCTGCTCGGGGCAGGAGGGATGGTTTTTGGTCCTGGGGGGGTCACCCTGGTTGCTGGGAGCGCCGGGTGCCCACCCCGTGCCGCTGTTTTTTTCCCCTCCCCAGGTTGCGCTGATGAAGCAGATGCGGGAGGAGCAGCAGCGGAGGCGGCTGGCGGAGACCAAGAGGAACCGGGAGATCGCGCAGCTCAAGAAGGAGCAGCGGCGCCAGGAGGTGAGGATTCAGCCCTTCTGCGTGTCCCTGCGCTGGGGAGGGGGGGGTTTGTGCTGCTCCGGCACCCCAAGGTGCTCGTAAATACCAGCTGGTGACGCTCGGGGTCCCTGCTGTCCCCGTGGCCTCTTTAGGGGGTGCCAGCCCCCAGCAGGGCTCACCTGGAGGAAAAACTCCCGGGGGCTTCCCACATCTCCCAGTGCGGTGGTTGGAGATGTTGTGAGCTCCCCACCACGCTCCAGGGCGGGGTTGTGCCACCAAAACCAGCCCTGGGGCTGGGAACCTGCTGGCTGATAAAATCAGGAGTGACCCCGCTCGTGCCAAAGCAACTCCTCGAGGTGATGGGGGAGTTTGTGGCCATCGCTGGGGGGTCCGGGAGGTTCTCCTTTCCCCATCAGGAGCCAAATCCTGTCTTTCTCGTGCAGTTCCAGATCCGGGCTCTGGAGTCTCAGAAGCGGCAGCAGGAAATCGTGCTGCGGAGGAAAACCCAGGAGGTGAGGGGGGGGGGACATCTCTGGGGGGGTCCCAGCCAAGCTGTGGCTCAGTGACACCGCCTCACTCTCAGCCTTTTGGGGAGCCGAGGGAGTTGGTGACCGGCTTGGGGTGGGGGACCCCCATCTGACACCCTCGGCCCCTCTTTTGGGCAGGTGTCGGCGCTGCGCCGCCTCGCCAAGCCTATGTCAGGACCGGGTGGCGGGCAGGACGAGCCAGAAGCCGCCCATGCTGGACTCGGGCGCTGAGGTCTCGGCCAGCACCACCTCCTCCGAGCCCGAATCCGGCGCCCGCTCCGTCTCCAGCATCGTGCGCCAGTGGAATCGGAAAATCAACAATTTCCTGGGAGACCCCTCGCCTGCTGCCAACGGGGCTCGGCCGCCCAGGTCAGGGCAGGGGCCGTGCGGGTGGGTGGGGAGGGGTCCCTGGGGCTCCTGGGGCTGTTTTTAGGCTGGTGGCAGAGGCTTGGAGGGTTTTTTTGGTGTGTTTGGCTGGAGGCAAACCTCCAACGCGAGGCATGAGCTGCGTTGGAAGGATCAGGGAGGGTTGGTGTCGGAGCTGGGCAATCCAGAAGTGATGCACCAGAGCTTGGGCATCCTTTTGGGGAAAACCCAGCTTTCCAGAGGCGGTGCAGCCATGTTCCTCTGGTCCCCTCGTGCTGCAGGAAGAAGTTCCCCAAGAAGGGGACGAGCCAGACCTTCAGCAAGGCTGCCCGCCTCAAGTGGCAGTCCCTGGAGCGGCGCATCTTCGACATCGTGATGCAGAGGATGACCATCGTCAACCTGGAGGCCGACATGGAGCGGCTCATCAAGGTGAGGGTGGTGGGCTTGGGGGCAGTGGGCTGGCCGTGCCAGCAGTGCCAAACTCCCTCTTTTTTCCCCCAGAAACGCGAGGAGCTGGCGCTGCTGCAGGAGGCGCTGCTGGGCAAGAGGGCGAAGCTGCAGGCGGAGAGCCCCAAGGAGCAGAAGGGGCTGCAGGAGCTGAACGAGGAGATCGAGGTGCTGGGGGCCAACATCGACTACATCAACGACAGCATTTCCGACTGCCAGGCTACCATCATGCAGATCGAGGAGACCAAGGTGGGCACGGAGGGAGCAGGCGGGTCCCCGGGAGGGTCCCCGGGAGGCGAGGGGAACGCCAGGCTGGGGAGGGAACCCGGGCATTCCAGAGCATCCTGCCCCAGGACATGGGAAAGCCGCAGCCTTCCCACGAGGGCTGCCGGGTTCTGGTCTCCGTGGGCGTCTGCAAACATTTGTGGGATGCTGGAAAATGCTTGGGAAACCCGGCTTTTTTTTTTTTTTCCCAGAGAAACCCCACGGGTTCTGGTGTCCGGTTTTGGCACCGGGCACGGCGGGGAGACGCGCGGCTCCTCGCCCCCTCTAGCGGCTGCAGCCTGGGCTTGGAGGCTCTGCGCTGTGCCCAGCCTGTCCCTGGCTGTGCCAAATTGTCCCTGATGGTGGCATGAAGCCAGGACGGGGTGGTGCTGGTGCAGGACCCGTGGTGCCCGTGCCACCCGTGGTGCCCACATCACCCAACCCTACCTGGCTGCGATGCTCCCCGGTCCCATCCCGTTCCCTCTCCTCCCCTCCCAGGAGGAGCTGGACTCCACGGACACCTCGGTGGTGATCAGCTCCTGCTCCCTGGCCGAAGCCCGGCTCCTGCTGGACAACTTCTTGAAGGCATCCATCGACAAGGTGCGGGCTCCTTGGGGGGTCTCGTCCCCCACTTTGGGGTTTTGTCCCGAGCAGCGTGATGATGCTGAGGTGGCTGTGGCTTTTTCCCCATCCTCCAGGGGCTGCAGGTGGCGCAGAAGGAGGCCCAAATCCGGCTGCTGGAGGGGCGCCTGAGGCAGACGGATGTCACCGGCTCCTCGCAGAACCACCTCATCCTGGATGCCCTGCGGGAGAAAGCCGAGTCCCACCCCGAGCTGCAGGCGCTGATCCACAACGTCCAGCAAGGTGGGCACGAGCCCGGGGCCTCCCTTGGGGTCGGGGTCCTCTCCGTGGGGTGAGGGTGGGCTTCCAGTGCCATGGAGCACCCAAAGGTGCCACCACTGGCATCGTTGTGCCCCTGGGTGCCGTTCTGGTGGGACGTGGCCCCCTGCACACCGCTCATGTGCCCTCTCCCCTGTGCGCAGAGAACGGCTACACCAGCACGGATGAGGAGGTCTCCGAGTTCAGCCTGGCCTCGGATGGGAGGTGAGCACCCAGCCCCGTGGGGTGGGATGTCCGGGGCCTCTCAGGGGTGGGTTTTGATGAGGAAGTCCCCTCCTGTGCTTTCCCGTGGCCCCTATTCCTTGGAGAGCACAGATGTCTCGTAGACCCCCAGTGGGCGCGAAGATGGGGTTGTTCTTTGGAGAGAGGGAGCTGGGGAGTGTGGGGGGGACCTCAGGGGTCTTGGGGGGGCTGCAGCAGCCTCTCTGAAAGGGGTTCAGCCCTGAGGATCCAGCTCTGCCACCTTCTCCTCGCAGCTTCTCCCAGTCTTTCACCATGAAGGGCTCAGCGAGCCAGGATGACTTCAAGTTCAAGGTGAGCTGGCCTTCCTGCCGCAGGCTATGGGAGGAGGGATGGGGGAAGGCGTTGTTTATAGGGCCATGGGGCTCAGCTTTGGGGTCTGCTCTGCAACCTGGCTCTTGGGGAGCCAGCCTTGGGGTACGGCTGGGCTCTGGATGGGGTCAGCTCTCCGTAATCTCCTGGATCTGTGGTCCCCTGGGCACAGAGGTGCAGGGATGGCTTCCAGGTTGGGTGGGCACCCAGGGGGGTGTCCCTGTGCTGGATCCTTTGTAGGCTAAGCTGGAGGGAAGCCCGCTGCCCTGTGCAGGCTGTCAGATTTGTATGGAAAACTGGGAATTTGTCCATCCTCCTGTGGCTGGGGTGCACGAGCTGCTGGCCCCGCAGCTCCCCTGAGCCCCGTGTCCCGTCCTAGGGAGAGCCCAAGCTCTCCGGGCAGATGAAGGCGGTGTCGGCCGAGTGCCTGGGTCCCACGCTGGACATCTCCACCAAGAACATCACCAAGTCCTTGGCGTCCCTCATGGAGATCAAGGAGGACGGGATCAGCTTCTCCATCCGAGACCCCTATTACAAGGAGAAGGTGTCGCGCACCGTCAGCCTGCCCACGCGAGGCAGCACGTTGTGAGCAGGGGGTGCTGGCCCTGGAGGCTGTGGGGGGGGGCTCCTGGGGATCGGGGCTGGTGGGGGGGAAGCTGTGCCCCATGGCAGAGCAACGAGGGCGAGCCAAAGCCTGCATCCATCCGGGCTTGCCCGTGGTGATGGGTCTCTCCAGAAGGACCCCCTCGTGCTGGGGGTCCCTCTTGGTCCATCCTCGTCCATCCTGGTCCCATCCTGGTCCCCCTGGTCCCCCAGGTCCCATCCTGGTCCCCCTGGTCCCCCAGGTCCCATCCTGGTCCCCCTGGCTTCCCATCCTTTACGGAGGCTCCTTGGGTTGCCAGAAGTGTCCATGCCCATGAGATGATTCTGATGGTGCCCTGGGGACACCAGGGCAGCCCCTTCCCCGTTTCCTTGGCTGGGGGAGGACGAGGGGCTCAGCACGGAGCAGCTCCCCCCGACGGGGAAGAGAGCAGGCACCCACGGTGCCGTTCTGCTTCCCCCAGCCCCAGGCAATCTCGCGTCTCGGACACGTCGCCGCTCACACGGAGGAAATCCTACGACCGTGGGCAACCCGCCAGGTGAGCTCAGGAGCCAGGGACTCGGTCAGGGGGAGGCTGGGTGGCCCAAATAAGCCAGGAGGGATGCTCTCCAGGCCCTGGGGTGCCGCTATGAGGAAGAGGAGTTTGGCAGGTGCCGCATGAGTAGTCCCCAAATCACGCGTCCCTCTAATCCTTCCTGCCTCAGGCCTCCAGACGTCGGCTTCACGCCCCCCTCGTCCCCCCCCACCCGCCCGCGCAACGACCGCAACGTCTTCTCTCGGCTCACGAGCAACCAGAGCCAGGGCTCGGCCTTGGACAAGTGAGTGTGGGGTTATTTTTTGGGGGGCTGCATGGTGATGGACCCGTGCCGTGGCACCGGCGGCACCTACCGGGCTCCCACGGCGGGGCACGGGAGCGCAGCACCCGGGTGGGCTCCCTGCTGCCCTCCTGCCACCGTTTTGTCCCCGGCTGCCCCCAGCAGGGGGGAGGTGGGCTGGGGGCTTGCAGGATGCCCAGGGGCTGGCACGGACCCCCCAGAGCTGCTCCAGGTGGCTGCCCATGTCTCGGAGAGCTGCCGGCAGCGCCGTGTCCTGACGGAGATCTGTCCGACCCTCACTGCCCTGCTGCTCCTCTGCCCTCTCCGTGTGTGCTTCTCTCTCTCCCTCTCTCTTCCTCCTCCTCCTCCTCCTCTCCGTCCTGCGCTGGCTTGGATGCAATAACAATCCCTCCACCTCTGACTCCTCCGCTGCCTCTTCTAGTCTGGGTTTTCTCTCCCGTAATCCTGCTAATTTTCTGCCCCTAGGTCTGATGACAGCGATTCCTCTGTCTCGGAGGTGCTGAGGTATAGACAACTTTCTATTTATTACCCCTCCCTCCTCTCCTCTCTCCTCCTCCTCCTCCTCTCTCTCTCTCTCTCCTGAGGTCGCTCTCCCCTGTCCCTGCATGCTCCGCCTGCACCTCGCTGCTCATCTCCCCATCTCCCAGCCCGTGCCTGCTGTCCCCGTGCCGTCCCCTCTGGGCACGGCGCCGTCCCTTGGCTCGGGACCTCGATCCGACCCGTTCCTGCTCTGGATGGCAGCATGCTCCGTGCCACCTGCGGGATGCCCCCGTGCCCCATCCCGTCCCCGGCTCTCCAGCAGGACCGCGCGGTGCTGGGGAAGGGGCTGAGCCGTCCCGCACGCTGCCGGCACGGTTTTTCTTGCAAGTGGCTTCCCGGGAAGCATCTCCCCGTGCCTGGCCGTGCGTCTCCAGCGCCGGGCTCTGGGGCAGAGCTCTTCGCCCTGGAGCGCAGCCCGGATGGGGGCAAGGTGCTGCTGGGCATGTCCCGGTGCCACCTCCCATCCACCGGGGGGTTTCCCAGTGCCAGGACCACCTTTCCCTCACCCTTTAGGAGTAGCAGCTCCCCAGCACCCTGCTGGTGACACCAGAGGGGTGACACCAGACCCTTTTGTCACCTTGGGTGCTCTGCAGCCAGGCACGAAGCCCCCTGGTACCCTCTCACCCTGGGGATTTGGGGTTTTCACCCATTTGTCACCTCCAGGCTGGCAGGGACACTAGGGGTCAGGGGAGAGCTGCTTAATTAGAGTTTGTGGTTGCGCCTGCTAATTGGGAAAGGACGATCACGCCCGTGTGATTTCCAAACCCTGATGAACGAGCCCGCAGCCATCCTGGCTAACACGAGCCTTCCGTGGCCCCGGGCCTGCCCTTCCCCAGCCCCGTGCCTCAGTTTCCCTGCTGTAAGAAGAGAGCAGCGCAGCTCGGGGCCACGTTTTGGGGTGGCAGCGGGGAGGAGATGGTGGTGGCCGTGCAGGACAGGGCTGGAGCTGTAGGGTTGTTGGATCTCAGCACCCCGAGCACCTCTGATGCGCTGCCCTCTGCCACCCTTGAGGTTTTAAAAGGAGCAGAGCCCTGACAGGCTGTAAGGAAGCGGGGTGCTGGCTATTAGCATCCTGAAATGTTCATTTATGGCAGAATTTCAGGCCATACAAGGTGCAGTTTATCCCAAACTGCCCCGAGGGATGGTGAGCTGGGTCTCCTGGCTCCCCAGCTCACCGCTAGCGGGGCAGAGGCCGCTGGGCGCCCCCTCTCCCAGCCCTGGGCACCAGGATGGGGGCACCAGGCAGTGGGGAGCTTCCCAGGGTTTCCATAAAGACATTTCCTCGGATGTGCCGGGTTCGGGTAGGGGGCCCATCGCCCTGCAGGGTGGTGGAAGATGAAGATGCTTGGGGAGTCCCTGGGACACGTGGTGCCCCCCTGCGCGCACACGCACCCCACCACGCTTCTCCTTTCTCTCCCGTGCAAGGGGCGTCATCAACCCGGTGGGGGGCACCAAGAACGCCCGGACGGCCCCGCTGCAGTGCGTCTCCGTGGCAGAAGGACACACCAAGCCCGTGCTCTGCCTGGATGCCACCGATGAGCTGCTTTTCACTGGCTCCAAAGGTGCGTGAGGGGGCGAGGAGGGCGCTGCCTTGCCAGCAGGTTGGCATGGGGGAATGGGCGGTGTGGTGGGCACCGCGGGGACGCTCCCTCCTGGGCCACCTCCTGCCCTCAGCATTCAGCCCGTGCTGCCCAGGTTGGCTTTTTTTGCCCTAGGGGGGTTCCCTGAGGGCAGTGCTGGGCACAGGGAGTCATCCATGCCCCTTGGGAGACCCCCCCCCCATGGGCACGTTCGTCCTCCCGCAGACCGCAGCTGCAAGATGTGGAACCTGGTGACGGGGCAGGAGATCGCCTCCCTCAAGGGGCACCCCAACAACGTGGTGTCCATCAAGTACTGCAGCCACACGGGGCTGGTGTTCACCGTGTCCACCTCGTACATCAAGGTGTGGGACATCCGGGACTCGGCCCGCTGCATCCGCACCCTCACGTACGTAGCAGGTTGGGGGGTCCCGGGGGGGTCCCTGGGCACCGGGGGTGTCTTTGGCTCGGCAGAAGCTGGTCCCAGGAGGGGGCTGGGGTGCAAGGATGGAGGGGATCCTCTAGGAGGTGAAGGTCCTGCTGGTCCCGTAGGGCCTTTCCCAATGTGGGATCTTTGGCACCCCAAACCCAGCAGCCCCGTTGGGTACCTCAGTGGGGCCCCGATCTCTGCCTCCTGGTCCCTGACCGTGCCCCATCCATCCATCCATCCTCCTCCTCTCCTTCCCCTAGATCTTCTGGCCAGGTGATCTCTGGGGACGCGTGCGCCGGGACCACCACCCGCACGGTCACCAGCGTGCAGGGGGAGCACCAGATCAACCAGATCGCGCTCAACCCCACCGGCACCACGCTCTACGCCGCCACCGGCAACTCCGTCCGCATCTGGGAGCTGAGCAGGTGAGGGCAGGACGGCTCTCCAGGGGGGGCTTCCCTCTGCTCGGAGGTACCCAAAAGGACCCCCCGGGGAAAGGGAAAGCCTCGTTAGCAGCAGAATAATAATAATAAGGGATTTTGGGACCCAAGGGGGTGATGAGCAGCGATGGGGCTCCTCGGGGTGTGAGCGCAGGAGAAGGGGGGACCTTCGCCTGCTGGGGGAGGCTTTTGGGGGAGCTTTTTTGGGAGAGCTGACCCCAGCCCCTGGTCTCTGTAGGCTGCAGCCCGTCGGGAAGCTGAGCGGCCACATCGGGCCCGTGATGTGCCTGACGGTAAACCAGACGGCGAGCAACCACTGACCTGGTGGTGACGGGCTCCAAGGATCACTACGTCAAGGTGGGTCCTGGCTGCGCGCTGAGCCCCTGGCACCTCGGGGAGCCCCGGGTCATGGCAACCCCCCTGGTGCCTCCGTGCCCAGATTTCTATTTTCACCTCTGTTTGTGGCTTTTTGTGCATCTCCATGCCTCAAATCTTGCCTTTTGTCCGTGGTAGGGGTGCAGCTTTGGGTGTGGGGGGTTTGTCTCATCCCTCAGGCTCCGTGCCTGGTGCTGGTGCGTTACGGCTGACCTGGATCAACAGCTTGCCCCTGTTCTTCTCCTTCTCCTGGTGCAGACTGCTCTGTGCTGGCTGATCTGCGTCCCCAGCACAGCAAAAGCTCACCCCTCTATTTTATTTTTGGCTGTTAGCAGGTTGAGGTGGAGCTGGCACCAGGGGGATGGGGAGGGAGGCAGGGTCCTGCTCTTCTGACAGCTGCGAGCTCTTGGCTCAGCTCGTGGAGAGGTGTAAAAGCTCACCCTGAGTGAAATCCCGGAGTCATCAGGGTTGGAGGAGCCCCCCAGGGTCACCTGCTCCAAGCACCCCCCCACCACTGTCCCCACCGAGCCGTGTCCCCAAGCACCAGCCCCAACCTCTCCTGGAGCCCCCCCAGGGACGGGGACTCCCCCACCTCCCTGGGCAACCCGTCCCAACGCCTGCCCGCTCTGGCTGAGCAGAAATGGCTCCTCATTGCCCACCTCAGAGGTGGTCAATGTTCTCCAACGATGGCCAAGTTCTCCAAGGCAGGACCTCCGTTTATTTCCGCATCCACCTGGGGTCCCTCACCCGCTGTTTTTTTTTTTTTCCCCCAGGTGTTTGAGATTGCCGAGGGCATGGTGGGCAATATCGGCCCCACTCACAACTTCGAGCCCCCTCACTACGACGGCATCGAGTGCCTGGCCATCCAGGGGGACGTCCTCTTCAGTGGCTCCAGGGACAACGGCATAAAGAAATGGGACCTGGAGCAGCAGGAACTTAGCCAGGTCTGGGGGGTCCTCAGGGTGACGTGGGGCAGAGCAGCAGTGCTGGGGGGGGGATTGGGGGAAGGTTCGGGGCATGGTGCTGGTGTCCTGTGCTGAACACACCTGGAGGGCACCCCTGGAATATGGCAGTGCCTGTGCCAGGTGTCTCCGTACCCCCAAAAACACGTGTGTGTGTGGATTGGCACCCAGCATTGCCAATTCCCCTCGGCACGCAGGCTTTGCAGCATCGATTGCTGGGTTCCACTCTGAAAACAGGATTAGTGCCCCCCACCCAGGGGGCAAACCGAGCTCTGGGTCTCAGATCCATCCCCTCGGTGTCCTAACTCCAGCTTTTGGAGGTCAGCCCTGGGGTGATGCTGATCGGAGCCCCTCAAGCTGTGCGCATGAGGCTTTTTTGGGGCTGCAGGTGATGCTGATCGTCACCTCCGCTCTGTCCCCGTGCGTGCAGCAAATCCCCAACGCGCACAAAGACTGGGTCTGCGCCCTGGCCTTCATCCCCGGCCGCCCCATGGTGCTGAGCGCCTGCCGAGGAGGCGTGATCAAGGTGTGGAACGTGGATAACTTCACCCCGGTGGGGGAGATCAAGGGGCACGACAGCCCCATCAATGCCATCTGCACCAACTCCAAGCACATCTTCACCGCCTCCAGGTGAGCCGCGGGCTTTCCGCGCCCCCCGCAGCCCCTGGGGAGGTGGGAAGCCCCCTGGGTTGACCTGGCATCCCTGGGCATTGGTGGGGGGGGGGGCTGCAGGGAGCAGGGAGGGAGGGAAGGGGGGGGTCTCGCAGCTTTCCAGTCCCTGCACTCCTCATCTCATCTCGCCCGTCTCAGTCCGTCCCCTGCCCGCGTGCTGGCGCTGCCCTGGGTTATCCCCCCGCGCAGGGACCCCTCTTCCCCGGGGCTGGGCACCCCAAGCTGCTCTCGGGGAGCAAATTGGCAGCAAGACTCTGATGTCCTCTTTTCGACCATGTCCCTTTTCTCCCTTCCTTTTTTCTGTCTCTCTCTGTCTCTCCTCCTCCCCACCTCCCATCTGTGCCACAGCGACTGCCGGGTAAAGTTATGGAATTACGTGCCTGGGCTCACCCCTTGCCTTCCACGACGCGTCCTTGCCATAAAGGGCCGTGCTACTAGTCTGCCTTGACCCTCCTGCTCTCTCTTGACTCTCTCTTGCTCATGCACTCTTCTTCTGTCTTTTCCTTTCTCTCCATCTCTTTCTCGCTGTTGCTTGCTTTTGCTCCTCTCTCTCTTTTCTCTCTGGTCTGAGCTGCTTCTTAACGGTATGAAACTCTTTTGCGTTTTTTCCCCACTTGATAAATCTTTGCTAGGAGTGACTCAGCCCCTTGGTCCCTGTCGTGCCCCCGCGTTGTTTTTAGTTTTGGTTTTCTTTTTTTCGTTTTTTACTCTCGCCCGGTGCCCACATCTGCTGTGGCAGCCACGGCCTGCCCGCACCCTTGCATGGAGACGGGGCCACCCCGAAGCGAACCCGTGCCCGGGGGGGCACCCAGCTCAGCAGCTCCCTGCAGCATCACTTCGACCTAGCCAGAGCTCATCCGAGGGGTGCAGGGGTCCCGCTGTCAGGGTCCCCACTCCCCTTTGTCCCCGTTCCCTGCCCGTGGGGTGAGCTGGAGGCTGAGCCCCACCGGGTCCGCCTGCTCCCCAAACCAACCCGGGCGTCCTCGCGCCGAGGGGAAGGAGCTTGGGGAGAGCCCTGGGGGCTGCATGATGCCAGGGGCTGGGGGTGGAGGACGTTCTCCTGGTGGTGCCAAGCCCCCTGCCCCTCTCACGCCGCCCCCTCTCGCCCTTTTATTTCTCAGCGACCTGACAGTGAAGCTCTGGAGCGGGAGGAGGTTGCCCGCTGGGTCCAACTAGGGGCTGCAAAGGACTGGAAGGTGGGACAGGAGGGGGACAGCCGGGTACCTCGCCCTTGCTATCGAGACCTCGTCATCGACAGGAGCTCAGCCCAGGGATGGGATTTGTTGTGGCTGGCCCGCCGGGGTGGATGAGGCCCCACCTGGTACTTTGAGCACTGATTTTTTTTCCCTGTGAAGAGGCAGCTCCGTGGAGCACCGGCAGCTCCACCTCCCCTCCTGCTGCGCTTTCTCGATGGTTTTCCACTGACCAGGAAACTTCGTCTCCCTTCTCGCCCACCCTGCTGTACTGCTGCTGTCAGGACTCCGAGAGGTTGGAGTCCAGGCTGAGCTCCCAAAGGAATTTGGAGACACCGAATTCCCTCCTGTCCCTGTGGCTTCCCGCAGCCTCCACCTGGATGTGCTCCTTTGGTCCCTCTTGGCTCCGGGGCTGGTTCCTGCAGGAGTCTTTCTCCATTCCCCAGTCTCGAGGCCGTTTGGGGTCTGCTGGCCAGGACCAGAGCACGGAGGGGCTGCTTCTTCGGAGACGGTACTTGTGGGATGGCCCCGTGCTGCGATGGGGTCTGCAGGAGGATTTCCAGGCAGCTCCATCAGCCCCCAGCCTCAGCCTGTCCCACCCGGCTCGCCCTGCGCATCCCTGCTGTGCCTGGTGAGCCCGGGCAGCTCTCCGTCCATCGCACGACTTCCAGCCCCAGCTGCTGCATTTCCTCGTGGCGATCTGTGAAAATCTCTGAGCCAAAATCAGCAGACCCCAGCTCCACTCTGCGGCGGGGAAAGGGGTCTCAGCAGGCATCCCTGAAGCCTTTTAACCCCTCTCGAGCTCAGGACCCCAAGCGAGACCAGAAGTTCCTGGCTGAAGAAGCCGAGGCTGGGTTTTGTTGCCCCGATGCCCGTCTCATTTTGGCACAGCTGGGAGCTGGAGGCTCTCAACGCCCCCCTCTCAGCCCCTTTACTGGGGAGGGACCAGCTCGGTTTTGCCCCCCGAGCCCTGGGGTGCCGGCGATGGGGCTCAGTACCAGGAGTGGGGTGAGGATGGGGTCGGCTGCTGAGGCTGGCACAAATCCCCCACTCCCTGCACACTTGAAGGACAATCCTGCAGGGGCTGATCTTGCACAGTTTGCTCCATCCAGGAGTGAGATCCTGAGGATTCAGCCTCTGCAGCTACCCTCCTCCTCCTCCTCCTCCCCTGGTCTAAGGGTCGGCCAGGCTCTGGTCCCATGCTGGAGCTTTGATTTCTCCCTCCCCTGGTCCCTTGGGCCGTCCCCTGCCCCATGCCAGGCTTTGTGGGATGGCCGAGGAGACCCCAGGAGCGGTGCCCTCTCCTCCCCTGCTCTCACCTCACTTTTGTCGCAGAAGAAGCAGCTTTTGGACTCGGACTTATGGATTTCCCTACGTGATCCCACCGGTGCTGAACTGGGATCTCAGAGGCCGGGGGCTCCAGGACCTGCCCCATAAAGCACAGACCATTTTCCCTCTCCTTCCTGCAACCACAGCCAGCCCCGAGTCCTTTGCCACCAGCCCTCGTTGAAACCTCTCCAGGCGGAGCGTGGCGATTCCTCCTCATCCCGAAGCACAGGAGCATCTCTACTGACTTGAAAAGGATTTTTTTTTGTGGGTTTTTGGGAAAAAAAAAAAAAAAAGCAACAAAACAATCCTGCTGGCATGCCTCGGTGGAGGGCACGATGCCGTGCCACCCTGCCCGGGACAGTGCCAAGAGGCACAAGGGCCCCATGGCCACCCCATAGCGCACAGAGGTACGGAGCTGGAGGCCGTGATGCCCCCTAAGCCTGTCTCGGAGAGGGTTTCCCTGCTCCTCAATACCTTTTTTTTTTTTGGGATGTGTGTGTCTGTGTGGCTGCAGCTCGGTGCATCGGTGCCAAGATCTGCCAGCGCCTGCCCTAAAACCTCGCGCTGCTGGGATCAGTGAAGGGGCGCCCTGTTGGGGTGATTTGGGGTCAGATCTGCCTCGCCTTGCTCTCCAGTTTCCCCCCTCCACGTAGGCTGCGGGTTCCTGCTTGGCTTCCCAGGGCTGGGGGGCTGGATCCTGGCTGATGCTGAGCCCCCCCGGCTGCAGCCTGGAGGTGCAGGGAGCTGGGGAGCACGGCACAGCAGCGAGGGGGCAGAGGGGGGGTCCGTGAAGCAGGAGGTGACGGTGATCCCATATTGTGTGTGTGTGTGTGTCATAGTCCCTGCGTGGGTTGTTTTTTTGGGGTGTTTGATCTGGTTTAGCTACCTCACGGTGCAAGCTGGGTGCTGTCGTCGTTGGGTTTCGTCGGGGGGGGGGGGGTGATGGGGTGGGGGGTGGTGGGTGGGGGTTGAAGTTTGGATTTCTCTGCCTTCCGTCCTCGTCGTTCTGATTTCGATGCTTGAGTTTGTCCCAAAGACGTGTGCCCTCACCTGCACCTCACTGCATTTCTGAGCCCCCTCCCTGGGCAGCTCAGCACCCCAATTCCCCCCCCAGCTCCCCGTTCTGCTCCAGTTTTCCTGCTGAGATCCGGCTCTGGATGCTGGAGGATGCTCACAGCGGGGCTCTGCCTCCATCCCAGTAGTTATGGGGTTGATCTGCAGCCTGGCACGGATCCCTCCTGTCCCTTTGGGGGGATGGAGAGCATCCTCTGCAGGGCTGATCAGCCTCCATCCCCGTCCCTGTGCTCGCAGCTGGGTTCTGGGGGTGCAAAATCTCCTTGGGGTGATGGCACCTAAAGCACAGGGTGGGCACGGGCTGCTCCTCGTCCCTCTTTTCCTGAGCCCTGGGCGCAGGGAGCGGTGCTTTCACCTCTGCCCAGGGTGGAGGTGGTCTGCGAGAGAGGGGGAGCCCCCTGTGTAATGTCTATTTTATTGTTTCCCTCCCCAAAATGTAGCTGAGCCTAGATCCCGTCCCAGGCACTGAACCCAAACTGGGGCATCTCCAGGGCCCCCGGTTCTCCCCTCATGGGAGAACTGCACCATAGGGTTTTGGGGGGGCTCGTGGCTCCTAGCCCTACCCCCAGCTCTGGGGGGCAGGTCCCCCAAACCCTAAAGCACAAGGTCCCACCCTGCTGGGGGTCTGGCAAGGGGGGAGCTCTTACCCTTTGCTCCTTCAGCTCTGCCCGTGGGCAGCATCCCTGCGGGCACCGCCGGGTTTTGGGGTGCGCGTTCCCAAATTCACCACCTTGTCCTGGTCCCGGGGGACGGTGCCTGCAGGCTCAGGCTGGGGCCGTGGTTTTGGATACACCGGGGGTGTAGGGTAAGGACAGGGCTGCAGGTGAGGGGTGGAGGAGAAGCCAGAGACCCCCCCTTTTTTTTAATATCCCTTTGCACTGTGCTGGGTGCTCCCCTGGGGGTCTATGTGGGGGTCTCTGAGCCTTCCCCCAGCCCCTCCATCGCAGGGACAGCTCAGAGCTGCCTTCACACCACCCACCTCGTGTTCCTTCTCCCTCGGTGCCTTGGTTTGTGCCCGGGGGGGTTGAAGCTGGGTGCTGCTGGTCCCTCGCTCCTGGATCTCCTCCCTCCAGCACACAGGGGCCGGCTCCAGCTCCAGCCTGGAGCTGAGCTTTGCACAGCAGGGATGGAGATGACGCAGGAGCCCCAAAGTGCCAGGCCCCCAAACCACTGTGAGCCCCCCCCGGGGAGCCCGGACCCCATCTCCCTGCTCTTACAGCACAAATTTTTTGGGGGGGTTGGGGTGCTGTGTCCCAGCCTGCGAGCAGCTGGAGCACCAGGGCTTGGGGCTGCTCCCCAGCACCTCGCAGCTTTTGGGGTCCCAGCCCTGGTCCCACAGAGCCACCGCCTGCCCCCAGGGTGTCCTCCCCGTGCCCCCCTTCCCCATCCCATGTTGGGATGGGGCCCAGGTACGATCCCACGGAGCACTTGCCTTGTCGCTGCTGCTTTGCTCCATCCTGCAGGCACCGTGCCCCCCCCCAGAGCCCCCTTCTCCCTTTGTGGGGAGCAGGGAAGGGGTCCCCCAGCCCCAACCCCCCCCGTGCTGCTCCAGCTGTAAGCAGGAGGGAGCCCAGCACAGCACTGACACCCCCTCCAAAGCCTTGTTCCTAAAAAACCCATTGCCCTGCGCCTTCCTCCTGCCCTGGGGGGCTCGTCCCCATCTCCCCCAGGACCTGCACCAGGATGGGGCCAGCCCTGCGCCTGCTCCATCGCCCCTTCCCGCTGCACAAATCACAAGCAGCAGGTGCCTTTTCTTGCTCGGAGCTGTCGTTGAGGCCAGCTCTCCTGAAGGCTTCTTTTTTTTCTTCTTTTTCCTCTCTGCTGAGCTGTGCGGCCCAGCCCTGGGGTCTGGGTTTGTTGGAGGACAAGGCGTGTGTATATATTTTGTACCTCGATGTGTTCCTGTAAATAGTGTAAGTTATTTCGGTCTCATGATGTACATGTTGGTTTGGTTTTGTTTTTTTTTGTTTTTTTTTTTCAATGGATGTGTTTGGTCCTGGCCTTTTTGTCTTCACGAATAAAGTGTTCTGAAACCACCGGGGCGAAGCCTCCCAGGGGATGAGCAGAGCTGGGACCTGCCTGGGCTGATGGGTGGGGGGCCCGTGGGGTGCAGGGGTGCTGCCGGGGCCCTTCTGCTCCTGCCCAGCTCCTGCGTCCTCAGGGGCACCGAGTGCTCAGGGGCACAGTGTGGGTGCTGTGGGGCTCCCTGGGTTCTCCCCCAGGATCTCAAGCTGGAGGAAGCACCTCCCTGGTGAGGAGGAGGAGGATGGGAGCACCTCGTTGTCCTGCTGCAGGTCCCCAGGATGAGGTGGCACCAAGTGCCAGCACGCAGGGATGTCCCCACGGCTATGGGCATGGGTATCTCGGGTGCCTCCAGCCTGTGCTGGTCCCCATGGTCCTGCCCATTCCAGGGGGACCTGGGGGACAGGGGACAAAGCTCTGGAGGGACAAGAGGCTTTGCAGGAGGATCTAGCATGAAAAACACCAAAGGAAAAGGCTGTTGGGTGCCGCACCCAGCACTGGGTGATGCTGGGCACAGGCACAGCTCAGCGGGAGGGACCTGGGGGTGCTCAGCACCAGCCCGCAGCGTGTCCTGGAAGGTGTGCACAATGTAAAGGGGATGTGAAGGGGATTGTTATTTACTACACAGCTGGTAAAAGCTGGAAGGTGTGGAAGATGTGTCCTGGAAGAAGAGGCTGGGGGGGTCTGGGCTGGAGGCGAGGTGGCTCCGAGCGCCCTCGGTGCTCTCCTCCCCGGGACCGATGCTGGCACCGAGCTGCACGGGGGGGTTCAGATGTGACAACAGGAGAACAATTCTTTACACTGAGGGTGGTGAGATGCTGGAAGAGGCTTCCTAGCGTGGTGGTTGATGTCCTGTGCCTGGCAGCATCGATAACCTGCTTCAGCTGCTGTTAGCCCCGCAGTGCGCAGGGGGACTTGGAGAGCTCTGCGCATCCGTTCCGCCTCACCTGCCCCAACCCCAGTTCTCCCAGGACACCGGGCAGCCGTGGCACGACCCCTGTGTCCCAGCCCGGCTGCCCAGGGTCACCTCCCCGAGCCCGGTGTCCCCAGGAGCGGGTGGCTTTGGGGACAGCCGGCAGGTGGCAGCCCCGGCTGCGGGACCGCGGGGCGCGGCGGAGCTGCTGGGGCTGGGGTCAGAGGGGTCCTCGCCCGGCCCCGAGGGTTGGGGGGGCTGGGGAGGGGGCTGCGGGCAAAGGGAGGGGATGGGGATGAATTTGGGGAGCCGCTCTGGGGGGTCAGAGGTTGCTCTGGGAGGTGGGGAGGAGAAGTGGCTGCAGGGAGGGGATGGAGATGGATCGTGTCCCTGGAGATGGGATGGTGTCCCCAAGCTGGGACCATGTCCCCGAACTGGGATCTTGTCCCTGGAGCTGGGATCGTGTCCCCAAACTGGGATCTTGTCCCCAAGCCGTGCCCGTGTCCCCTGGGACACAGGGATGAAGGCAAGGCCTGGGGGTGGCACAGGGCAGGAGGTGACCCCAGCACCAGCCCGCGGTGCCCGTGGAGGTGACAGATGGTGGCACCAAGCTGTGACCCCTGAGGCTGTTGGGCAGCCAACCCCCCCAGGGCAGGGGGGGGGGGGGGCTGTGAGCTGCACCCCAAAATGTGCAGGGCAGCACCTCAGCCCCAGCAGCCTCCACTTTCTCTTTCCCAGTGGCACTGGTTAGACTGGTCAGATGGAGCAGCTGGGTGCTGGGAGGTGCTGGTGCTGGGCTGTGCCCGCACCCACCAACTTGGGAGCAGCCCCTCCTGGCACCCATCCTGCACCCTCCATGGGGCACCCCATGTGGGCTGGGGGTCCCTCCTGGCCACGGGTGGCCCAACACAGAGCTCATCCTGAGAGTGGTGCCAGCTCTGGGGGGGCTGCGCTGGGGGGTGGTGTTACAGCTACCCCAAACCACCCCCATTTGCTCAGAGCTCCTGAGGGCTCCTGGTGCTCCGTGCCTGCCCCTTCTCCCCCCAGCTTGGGGCACCGCAGACCCGCCGTGTCCCTGCTTTGGGGCTGCAGAAAAAGCTCCCCCGGGGGCAGGTTTCTAAGCACAACGCTGGAAACCCAGCCTGGCAGTGGGGTCCCTGGGCACTGCGGGGTCACAGCACGCAGGGTTTCAGGCTCTGCGTGCGCCCAGCACCGGCGTATCCCCCGGTGATGCTGGTTTACCAAAGGATGGAGCCAGCAGGGGCTGATCCCCGCCGTGGGGACGTCCCTGCACGCTGCAGGATGCTGTGCCCGGGAAACAAAAGGGCCTGGCAGCGCCCAGCACTCGTGACGGTGCCATGCAGGAATGAAGCTGGGGCAGGTGAGCAGCTCGCACGGCCCGGTGCCTCCCGGAGAGCAGGCTGGCCCCGGGGCCACCGCACGGCCCCACAGGGACCTGACCGCAGGGATGGGGCCACAGCATCCACGTCTGCACCCTGGGTCGGCACCGAGCCACAGCAGCTGGTTTGGTGCCAGGCAGGAGCTAGAGGTGATGCTGGGGTCGGCTGCAGTCACGCAGTGCCGGGGGATTGCTCCTGCCCCTGGATGTGGCTGGGGAAGCAAAGAGGTGGCCTTGGGTAAATGGTGCTGGGCTCTTGGCCTGGATGGGCCCAGGGCTAAAAAAACCAGCAGAAACAGACCCAGAAAAGAGTCCCAAATCCTGCCCAACAGCCAGAGGGGCAGCGGAAAACAATTCCCCAAATGCATTCCCTGCTTTACCCCTAGGTGTGTGTCCCTGCATGCACCCGTGTGTGTCCGTGCAGTGGCGCTTGTGACATGGCCGGGGATGGGCTCTGCAGCCTGCCCCAGCCACCCCTGGGCAAAAAAATGCCCCATCCCAAAACGGCGAGCAGGGCACCTGCACAGACAGAGCATCACAGCCTCTGCCACGCGTGGTCCCGGGGACAGTGCCCACGGGGTGGGTGACCCGGGCAGGGCTCCGAATGCAGCTGGGGACCCCTCCGAGAGCCCCCCTGCCACGAGCACTGCGCTGCCCCTCGGAGCAGGGCTTGGAGAGGGGAAATCTGCACCTCCTGGGGGCACCTGGGGCAACCTTCCTGGCCGCTTTCCCCTTGGAAGAGCCCCCGGGATGGATGCTCAGCCCCCGGGGCTGCTCCGGCCCTCCTGGGCATGTTTTCTTGGCAGCGGGAGCCGAGCGAACCTGCTGCTGCGAGCAAACAAACACGAGCCGGGCTAAACGGCGGCGAAGAAAACGCCCCGCGAGGCCGGCGCGGGTGAAACTCTGGGCACCGGCAGGGCAAGGGCTCTGACAATGATTAAACTGGCCAACCCAGATTTCCCGGCAAGGCAGCGCTGGGCTGGGACCCGGTGGTTCATATTATGCAAATCACCTGGATCTGGGAGTAATGAACGTTTCAGCCTGGAATTCCCCTCGGGCCTCCAGATCGCGTTACGCCGCCCCGTGCTATAAAAGAGGAGACGTGGGCAGGAGCTGCCCATCGGCACAGCCTGGCCGGGCCCGCAGCCGTGGTTAGCGGCCGGGCAGGGCTCCCCTCGCCTCCCCCCCTTTTGGATTAGCTGCTGCCCCGCGAGTGCCATCGCAGAAGGTACCAAAGCTTTTTTCCTTCGGGACCTGCTCCCCGATGGCGCCGTGCCCCCGGCTTCGCTCCCTTCCCTCTGCATCTCCTCTCCCGTCGGGGATGTGCGCGCTTGGTCCTCGCTCGCCGCGCGCCCGCTGTCCCAGCGCGGCCACCGGCCCCTTTTGGAGACCCACAGAGGGGTCCCCCTCCGGCCCCTGGGTTTTGTCCAGCGATCGGCAAGATTTGGCTTTTCTACCACGGGCTGCCGAGTCACCGGGATGTGCTTTTTGGAGGACGGGAGCTGCCAGCAGCCCTGCCCCATGGGCAGGGGGCAGGGGATGCGCCCACCCGCGGGGCTGGGGGCACATTTGGTGGCCGAGGGTCCCGCAGGGGCCGTGCTTTGGGACCGACAGCCCCCTCACCGTGAGAGGGACTGGCAGGGCTGGGGAAGGGGCTGCGGCAAGCACGAGGCCACCTTGTCCCCTGCCTCGGGGTGGCAGGGATTGAGGCCACCGGGCGGGCGTTTCGGCAGAGGTGACCCGAGAGGCGGCGGCGCACGGAGGGAGGGGGGAGCCCGACCTCACCCAGCCCCATCCCGGGGCTCCCGCGGGTGCTGTGGGTTCAGGACCGGGGCTCACTGTGGTTTCTCGGCACAGATCTTGATGGCAGGATCTTGCGAGATCAGCAACATTTTGTCCAAGTACAACAGCACCATGTACCAGCAGGAAGAGCCGCAGCTGGCCCTGGATGTGCTGGGACACCCTGGGGACGACGGCAGCCTGGGGCTGAGCTTCCCCCCCAGCCTGCCCCCAGTAGACACCACAGGTAGGATGGGGCGAAGCGGTGGTGGGGTGTTTGGGGGAGCCCCCATGGAGGGGAGAAGTGAGGCAGCCTTGGAAGAGCACCCACGGTCCCAGGGGGGCAGGTGGATGGTTTGCACCGTGCCTCAGTTTCCCCAGGGGGGTGTTGGCTGGAAGGGTGCCAGAGGATGTGCTGGGTGGCACCAGGTGCCAGGCCCATAATATGAACCCCATAACCCCAGCCCCATAATCCAAACGCCATAAACCCAACCCCATAATTGCAGCCCGTAATCCCAGCCTCACAACCCCAGCCCCATAATCCCAGCCCCATAACCCCAGCCCCATAATCCAAACCCCATAAACCCAACCCCATAATTGCAGCCCATAATCCCAGTCCCATAAACCCAGCCCCACAACCCCAGCCCCATAACTCACCCCAGCCCAAAAACCCCAACCCCATCATCCGAACCCCATCATCCGACCCCCACGGCCCCAGCCCCATAATCCCAGACCCTGAGCCCCGCTCTCCGTCCCTTGCAGAAACGCCCGAGTGGTTCAGTGAGCTCCCGTACTTCTGGACCAAGGTGCAGGTGCTGGAGTGGATCAGCTACCACGTGGAGAAGAACAAATACGACGCCAGCATCATCGACTTCTCCTGCTGCAACATGGACGGGCACACGCTCTGCCACTGCAGCCGGGAC